TAATATAAAATGATTGAATATATATTTATAATTCAAAATGTTAATGCTAATAATAAAGCCAAGAAAACAAATGCTATTTATTAGGAAAAGGAACATTCTTCACAACCATCACGAGCAAATCCATTAGCTTAACATTCCTATTCACAAGTGGCACATGTTTCTGATCCTTTAGCTTTGATGCATTCAATTTATTCAGTTTATCCATTGACTGTATCATAAGTACTTTAAACTAATAATCTTCTTCCTGATGATGCGTTTGCTAGAACTGAAGTAACTCTTATTGTTACTGCTCTCCAAGCAATTTCAGCTTTTAATTAAATAATTGCTTATCCTGGAGTAGTATTAATCACTTATTCAAGAGTTGCTTTCTTATTCAATCCACCACCAGTATACCAAACTTCAGTTCCAGTTAAATAATAATTAGTCAAACCAGCTGTGGTGACAATTTATTATAAAACAAATTAATCATTTAAATGAAGATCTGGAGTTTCATAAGCTGTACATTTCAAATCTGTACACCATTTTAATGTAGTAGCAGCTGTTATAACACAAGGTAAATTTGGTGTGCATCCTACTGATTCTTTCTAACTTATTGGTTTGAAAGATGTGTCGACTGCAGCTCCATTTGATCTTAAAACTGTAACAGTGAATTAGAAATATAATGTGTATTATAATTAGTCTGTATTTGCAATATAATAAGCGATAGAATAGTATCCTTTATAAACAAATTATTCAGTATTTTATGAATCAAGAACTAACCTTGTACTTAATTCAGTTCCTAAAATAGTAAATGAATAATATCTCCATTATTTTTAGAAATTAAATGATGAAGTTATTGTTAAATCTGTTACTTAAGTTCCTCCACTATATTAATCTGATGTGAATCTATATAATTTAAGATCAAGACATGTGTTTTCTGGTTTGTTTCCATCTTCTTAAACAAGACCAAAATATAAAGGATCATTGAAATATTCAAAATCAGAATATTATAAATTAACTTTAACATTAGCTGTTCCATCAATAAAGGCAGCATCACCTTTGAATGCAATCTTTGAGGCACCTTATCCATCTGGAGAATCAGCTGTTCCAAATTTTCCTAGATATTTGTTACAATTTAAATCATTAGGGCTAAGTCTTGGTGTTTAACTTAATCCAAGAACTACGAGAATTGTAATAATTACTATTGTTTTCATTTTTATTTTGTATTAATACATTACATATTTAAAAATCTTGCTTTGTACTCAAATTAAAACCTCTTATTCTATTTGAAAATTTATAAAAATAAAATAATTTATTACATCATTTCTCTTTAATTACTTTCATCCAAATTTTTTACCTATTGACAATAGTCAGGTAGAACTTTATTCGTTTGATTTGAAAGAAATAGATGAATTGAATTTAAATTTTTTGATATTTTTTCAAATAGAATAATTTGAATTTAGTGAGAGCATTAAGCGAGATTTAGAGATAAAATGAACATATTAACTAACTAAAAATGAAAACCACATTAATATTAACATTCCTAATAGCGATTGGGTTAACATAAAGACTTAGTTTCGATGATCCAAATTTCAATAAGTATCTAAAAAAAATTTGGAAACACAAATAATATAGATGGAATCGGTGCAACAAAATTGCCATTCATAGGAGATGTTTCCTTTGTAGATAGAGCTAATGTTTAGGTAAATTTGAGATATTCGGATTTCGATGTCTACAATGATTAAACATACTTTGATCTTTTTAAAGAAGATGGAAAACTAAAAGCAAGTACTTGTTTTGAAATTAAATTATGGAAATTCACTTCAAATACTTCCTCTTCATATTTCTGATTTAACAATAACTTCATCATTTAATTTCTAAAAATAATGGAGATATTATTCATTTACTATTTTAGGAACTGAATTAAGTACAAGGTTAGTTCTTGATTCATAAAATACTGAATAATTTGTTTATAAAGGATACTATTCTATCGCTTATTATATTGCAAATACAGACTAATTATAATACACATTATATTTCTAATTCACTGTTACAGTTTTAAGATCAAATGGAGCTGCAGTCGACACATCTTTCAAACCAATAAGTTAGAAAGAATCAGTAGGATGCACACCAAATTTACCTTGTGTTATAACAGCTGCTACTACATTAAAATGGTGTACAGATTTGAAATGTACAGCTTATGAAACTCCAGATCTTCATTTAAATGATTAATTTGTTTTATAATAAATTGTCACCACAGCTGGTTTGACTAATTATTATTTAACTGGAACTGAAGTTTGGTATACTGGTGGTGGATTGAATAAGAAAGCAACTCTTGAATAAGTGATTAATACTACTCCAGGATAAGCAATTATTTAATTAAAAGCTGAAATTGCTTGGAGAGCAGTAACAATAAGAGTTACTTCAGTTCTAGCAAACGCATCATCAGGAAGAAGATTATTAGTTTAAAGTACTTATGATACAGTCAATGGATAAACTGAATAAATTGAATGCATCAAAGCTAAAGGATCAGAAACATGTGCCACTTGTGAATAGGAATGTTAAGCTAATGGATTTGCTCGTGATGGTTGTGAAGAATGTTCCTTTTCCTAATAAATAGCATTTGTTTTCTTGGCTTTATTATTAGCATTAACATTTTGAATTATAAATATATATTCAATCATTTTATATTAAATTAAAACAAAAAAAATAATTTAAATTAATGGAAAGGAATTTAGAAGTCATTAAATATATATGAAGTAATAAGCGTTTATTAAATCATTAATCTAGTATTAAAAGATTTTTAGATTCATATTTTTAACTGATAGTGAGAAAAAATAAATCAACTAAGAAGTTAAGTGATATAATTTTAATCTTAGTTATGACGAAATAGAATTAATTTTTATCATGAATATAAAACTATGCAAATTGAATTAATCTCTATCTATTAGATGGTTATGTAGATTTTAAATTAGTGTAAAATTATAGATATGCCATAGAGTAAATTTTCTCAATTTTAATAAAATAATAATTTCTATAACCCAATGAAGAATGATAAGTATGTCTTAAACCCATTATGTGTAATTCTATTAGTTTCTCATTCTTTTTTAGCATCATTAGAATATTTCCCTCCTTCTGCTTTGATATAAATAGAAAGATTAGAGGTAAAATTAAATACTAATTAAGCCATTTAAAAAATTCATCATTGAATACAATAAATTATACTAAGAAATGATTTTGATTATTTTAAATGTCTAGTTCCTAAAAAAGATTAATTTAATAATTATTTAGAACATTTCAGTTACTGTAAAATAATAATCTATTATATTACATAGTAAATTTATCATTACTATGAAGGTCAGGAATTTCATATTTTTACTATTTTATTTATTTGATAATTCACTTCTTGGTTTTTGAAATCCTCTATCTATTAGCTTTAGAAGGTGATTGATTATGTAATATGTAAATCAGTAACTTCGACATCAACAGAGTAAGGGTTTGATGTGAATGTTTATATGCAAAGATCAAGTCATGTTTCTGTAGTTTCTCTTCCACCTTTTTAAACAAGATCAAAAATTTATTTTTTTTTGAATTTCTCAACTCTAATTAGAGTTTGCTATTTTTAAATAAAGAAATGATCCTTCTTTTTGACCATCAACACTAAAATTTTTAAAATTTTTGCAGATGCTTTGAACCCTCAATTTATAGACTTAAACATAATAAAAATGAAGGCTCTTAGAAATCTGAGTTATTTTCTGGTTTATGTTCTTTAATTCTGTTGAAAAAATTATTAATTTATCTTTCAAAACCAAATTGGATTTTTTACCTTTTTATCAATATGTTATGTTTTATTAATTACTCTAAGATTTAATTTATACCTATATATTTAAAAAATATTTAGGAAAGATTCCAGAAATACTCATTTAGATCAATTACTACAAAGAGAAATATATTATTGAATAATATTAATATAAAAAAAATGCATTCTGATCCAATATTCGAATTTATGGTTTAAAAAGGTTTATCTGAAAAATTAAAAAAGAAGATCAAAGGCAAGATATGCTTCAACATTATTAGAGGATCAGGTCATAAGCTTTGGTTGATTGATTCTGATATAAAAAAAGTAATTCCAGATACAAGTTAAAATGCAGATACTATTTTCAATATTTAGGATGATGATATGGTTAGTTTCTCTAAAGGCTAAACAAATTTAAGGACTTTATTCATGAGAAAAAAGTTAGTTATTGAGGGGGAGTATTAAATCAAAATATTTTAGTTTTTCTAATGCTATTCGATTTACAAGTGACCTATTACCAAAGATGCCTTTACTTTGAGCATTATTTAATATAATTCTTTAGATCATCATATCGATTATTTTATAAATCAGCCTATTTAAATTTATTAGTACACACTAATATGATTTTATTTTTCCCCTCTCAAAAAGTAGAAAAATAAAAAAAGATTGTTTGATTTCTTGCACTAATTAAAACATTTTCATGTCTAAGAATAAAATCTACTTATTAAGGAATTCAACTAAAAATAATTCTATTCATCTGAAAAGAACTTTAATTTTTCAGAAATTTATTTTTTTAACTATACTCTTATACTTTATGATTTTTTGGATTAATAATGAGTATTAATTGTAACCTTAATCAACGAAACATAATAATAAAATGTTTCGCATGAATTTTTAAATAAAAATTTTAGGTAAATAAAAAAAATTGAATTCAATTTAACAATTTGATGTATGCAATTCTGATCTAATAAAGACTTTTATCTTATTGATAGTATCATTTCTGCTTCTTCTAATCAATTTGTTATCACATAAGTGATCTAAATTTTTATATTTGTAAAATTGATACAAAAGTACTATTGAATTTGAAGTAAAGCTGAAAGCCTCAATATAAATTTTTCTTTTGAAAGGCAAAAATTTTATTTCGAGAACAATTAATTGATAATGGACTTTGTATTCTTCCGTGTACATTATCAGTGTGAAGTTTATAAGTTGAAGAAATTTCATTTTTTTTATAGATAATTTCTAATTTATTGGTTTTCTTGATTTTAATGAAATGCTACGAGTTCTAAATTTATTTTAAATTTTTTGATTATTCTTGAGGAATAGTTTTACCATAATCCAATAACTAATAAGAAAATAAGATATTAATGATAAGAATAATTCATATAAAAAATCTAGAAAAAAAATCAACAAGAATTTTAATATTAAGTGTCAATTCAAAAAAAAATATAAAATCAAAGAATGAAAAATGTTAATTGTGTCAACTAAAAATTAATCATTTGAAATATTACTTATGGTATAGAAGAATGAGATTATTTTAGTAAAATTGAACTAGTTACTTATTTATAATTGTAAATTGCATAATCACTAGACAATTTATTTTGAATTTTATTATGTTCTAGTTTCACATCCTGTTCATTAATTCAATAAATTCATATTTTAACATATATATTAATAAATAATGTTTTAAGTTTTAATTTAATATAAAATGATTGAATATATATTTATAATTCAAAATGTTAATGCTAATAATAAAGCCAAGAAAACAAATGCTATTTATTAGGAAAAGGAACATTCTTCACAACCATCACGAGCAAATCCATTAGCTTAACATTCCTATTCACAAGTGGCACATGTTTCTGATCCTTTAGCTTTGATGCATTCAATTTATTCAGTTTATCCATTGACTGTATCATAAGTACTTTAAACTAATAATCTTCTTCCTGATGATGCGTTTGCTAGAACTGAAGTAACTCTTATTGTTACTGCTCTCCAAGCAATTTCAGCTTTTAATTAAATAATTGCTTATCCTGGAGTAGTATTAATCACTTATTCAAGAGTTGCTTTCTTATTCAATCCACCACCAGTATACCAAACTTCAGTTCCAGTTAAATAATAATTAGTCAAACCAGCTGTGGTGACAATTTATTATAAAACAAATTAATCATTTAAATGAAGATCTGGAGTTTCATAAGCTGTACATTTCAAATCTGTACACCATTTTAATGTAGTAGCAGCTGTTATAACACAAGGTAAATTTGGTGTGCATCCTACTGATTCTTTCTAACTTATTGGTTTGAAAGATGTGTCGACTGCAGCTCCATTTGATCTTAAAACTGTAACAGTGAATTAGAAATATAATGTGTATTATAATTAGTCTGTATTTGCAATATAATAAGCGATAGAATAGTATCCTTTATAAACAAATTATTCAGTATTTTATGAATCAAGAACTAACCTTGTACTTAATTCAGTTCCTAAAATAGTAAATGAATAATATCTCCATTATTTTTAGAAATTAAATGATGAAGTTATTGTTAAATC